CTCTAGCCCGGGCAACAGAGTAAGACTCTGTCTCAAAAAAAAAAAAAAAAAGAGCCACAAGTACTTCCAGTGATTCCCAGAAGGGGCAGCTGCTGTAAGACAAACTATTAAAACTCTGTCTCCAAAATAACATAGATGGGACTGAGACTGGTTACCTGAAAGGGGCTCTTGCCATGTACAATTTTTTATGTTGACTGTTTCCCGTTTATTACATCATTCCTTTGTTTTTCTTTCAGAGCTGCCACTTAATTCTCATTTTAACCAGACTGTACTAAGTATAATAACAAACTCAAAAATAAGGGCCACACAGTGACAAACTATATATATTGTTCAGTAGAAGGTGATCGTGAATACAAGACATTTCCCCTATTTTCCCTATGGGGAAATCCAAACCAATGTTTTGGCTAACTTGAATATATAAATGTTTTATGATCAACATTTATCGAACATCTAGTTAGAAATTAAACTTATCAAATGTCTGTTTATAAATCAGAAAATATATACTTACAAATTAAACTTAATAACTTAGTTATATATTGACATTTAAAATCATATGTACATGAACTATATTAATTTAGTAAATTTTTTCCATTTTCACATTTCATGAAAGTTTTATTCAAAATCTTCTCACTCATCTTCAGCCTTACGAGAGCTACTTTTTGAGTTAACATATTGCCAAGCACTTTACCTTCTCTCCCATCCAAGTTCTTTAAAAAAACCATATACATAATAACTGTCATTGAAAATTTCATTCCAAGTCATAAGTATTTCTTTCCTCTGTAGGTTTATTTTTGCAGTATTTGCAAATAAACACTGTATGGCTTTTTAGTGTCTTTAAAGACTTATTAAAAACAACCTCCAAGGCCGGGCGCAGTGGCTCACGCCTGTAATCCTAGCACTCTGGGAGGCTGAGGCAGGCAGATCATTTGAGCTCAGGAGTTCGAGACTAGCCTGAGCAAGAGTAAGACCCCGTCTGTACTAAAAATAGAAAGAAATTGGCCAAACAACTAAAAATAGAAAAAATTAGCCAGGCATGGTGGCGCGTGCCTGTAGTCCCAGCTACCTGGGAGGCTGAGGCAGGAGGATCGCTTGAGCCCAGGAGTTTGATGTTGCTGTGAGCTAGGCTGACATCACGGCACTCTAGCCTGGGCAAGAGAGTGAGACTCTGTCTCAAAAAAAAAATAAAAAATAAAAAACAACCTCCAATACTGGCAATTGTGAGGTTATGCCCCAGGTATGACTAAATTTGTGCTCAATTTCTTTGTCTTACTTTTTGACTATTATTAATATATCAGGTGGATGCTATAAATATCCAAAATTAGTATTGATAGAGGATATTTTAGGTTAATGTATCTTCTTTTGCATACATCATTTTGTTCAAAATAAAGTACCCCATTTTTTCTGGAGTTTTCATTCCTTCGATTTAGTTCTCAAGGTTCTTGAACAAAACCTGTCAGTGCTTAAAAATAAAACTTCATACTCCTTTGGTGGTGGAAGTTCTCGAACATATAGTACTTGGCGAAGTGCCTACAATGCTGAGCATGATGCCTGGTTCTATGTAGATTCTCAGTAAATGTTTATTGAAAGAATAAAGGGTGAAAGGTTTTCCCTGTCTGTATAGATCTATAGAAGAAGTAGGAAATTCAGTTAGACATAGAGTTTAGGAGATCTACTGGAAAACAATTTTATGTCTCCTGAGTTAACATTTTTTAAGCCATATAAAACTGTTTGACGGACATGAATACCAAATGTATTTTAATCAAAATCAATGCATTCTTTTTCTGTTTTGTTTTTACTTCAGGTTAGTTTTGTCAGATGAGGAAGCGAGCTTTGGGAATGAACCAGGTAAGATGGTAAATTAATTGCTTTGAAATGGTCACATTTTAAATTGTCAAGACAGTTTATCACAGTCCTTTAGAAGAGATTATGTTAATATCCATTCACTTAAAAAAATGTTAAGTAAGTAACTTTATAAGTCTCTTCTGGACAAACACTTTTTAGTTTTCTTTCTAAGAGTACCTAATTAGAGGGTCTAGTAGTCTTCCTTAAGGAATCTGGCCTTGTCAAAGATGGATGGTTTTAGATGCAGAAATCTATTTTTTAGGGTTACATGATGAGTTTTGAGTTTTCTCTCATACTTAAATTCATGTTCTTATTTTTAAAAACACATATATACAGTCAACATATATTGGAATCACTATGGTAAAAAAGAGTATGTGTTTTGGAACCAGAAAAATCTAAGTTTGAATTCTGGCTTTTTAAAACGTATCATTTATGCCTCTCCCAGTTGCCTCATCTGAAATATGAGTCATTTATATGTACCTTACAAGAGACATTGGAGCTAGAGATAATATTTATCTATTGCCATATCCATTCACTCAATGTAAAATGAACATCCATTGAGTGAGAGTGTCAGAGGCATGGGGATCAGGCAGAACAAATTAAAATGGACTAACAGAGAGTATAGAATAGAACAGGTCCACCAAGTAAGGGATAGGCTTTGGAATGTTAAAGCTTTTAACTTTCAAGGGAACATAGATATAATAGAGGACCTGAATACCTATGGTAGTATAATATTATTTGTTATATACACACAAATGTGATTTATATATATAAGATTCTTTACAATTTTATATCTCCCTTTTATACATACTGTAATCTGATTTGGTCAATTGAACACTTGACCTAATTATAAAATATGACAGTGAATAGACTTGCTAAATTTCTTCTTGTTCAACTTATTTTTTATATGTTCTTGTTTTGGCAACCACAGATTACAAGGAAAAACATTTTCAAATGAGAGAATTTAGAGCACCTCAGTTTTCTAACTCTGAAAATGGTAAGAAACTATCATTTCACTATATATATGAATAATTTATTATTTAAAATTCTTAAATTTTTATTTCACATTTATTTCCTTATTTTCACATTTCCTTTCCTTAACATTTCCTTATTTCCTTCACATTTATTTCCTTAAGAATTATTAGCTAATTCTTTCTTCTGCTAGTTCAAATATACAGTTGTGCCCCTCTAGCGAATTTATCACTTCAGTTATTGTACTTTCAACTCCAGGCTTTGCATTTTGTTCATATATATATGAATCAAATTAGATATATATATTATATATTATATATAATTTCTCTTTATTGATATTCTCTAGTTAATGCAACGTTGTCATCATACCTTCTTTTGCTTCTTTAATCATCATTTCCTTTAGTTCTTTGAATATATGTATAAGGGCTACTTTGAAGGCTCTGTCTGTTAAATCTGACATTTGGTCACCCTCACATAGAGTTTCTGTTGTGTGCCTTCTTGCCAGTGTATGGGTCGTACTTTCCTGTTTTTTTTTACCTGCCTCATAGTTTTTTGTTGGAAACTGGGCATTTTAGATAATACGTTTTAGTAACTTTGGGTACTGATCTCCTCCTCTGAGGCTTGTTATTATTATTTGCTTGTTATTTGTTTAGTGACAAGCTCGATTATTTTAATGGAGTCTATTCTTCATACTCCCCCACTTCCCCCCCCCCCCCCCAGTTTGACTCCTTATGGGATGCAGGCTTGGGTATGCCCACAGTCACCCAGGGATGACTGTGGTTTTAGCAGAGCTCTCTTTGACGTCTATTTCCCTGACCACACCCAACTGTTAAGCTCCACTAATTTCCAGCTGATTGCGCTATTGATTTCAACAATGCCCTGGAGCATAAATTGTTCCACAGAATAAACTAGTCAACTTTGGACTCTTTTGGAAAAATACCTCCCAAGGTCACTGTTTGAAATTTGTTCTGACCCCAAATGGCTTTTTCCCTGGTTCCTTTCAGGCAAATTATCAGGTCTACAGTTTAGCTTACGTGTCCAAACTATCAGTCTTCTCCCAATTACCTTCACTACAACCTCCACTGTTTTTGAGAGCATCCTTAGGCTTGAACTTCTCCATGCTCTGTTGTGAATGAAGTCAGTTCCTTTGGGAAGAGATTAGTAGCTATCGGTTTTATGGTCTGCTCCCAGCAAGGAAAATCTGAGTCAGGGCTTCACCTGGGAGTGGGGACAGGGCAGGCTTCTGAGTGATATCCTTGCGCTAGGAGCTGAGTGCTAGGTGAGGATGGGTGACAGTAGCCTTAGATCTTCCTGGCTTGCCTGTTTCTTCATGAAACTACAACTTTACAAGCAGGGTCAAGTGATCAGGGGCCCAGTATTCTCAGAACATGGTACCCAACTCAGAGTGGGGACTGGGTAGGAGATGGGAGCCTCCACCTCTTGACTGCACTCACCTGGGATTTAGCTTCAGCAACATGTAACTGGGGACAAGATGTGAAATGCTGGCATCCTTAACAGAGCTCGGGGGAGAGGGAACCCTGTGTTCTCAGCTGCACACCAGGCTGGAGTGGAATTTCCATCTTTCTGAGTTGAAAGGGCAAGGATGGGAGTGGTTCTCAATTCAAATACCACAGATTTTCACTGTTTCCGGAATTCTAATAGATTTTCTTGAGTGTTTCTTCATTTGCCTGTATGCCCTTAGGACCATTTCCAGGGACTTTAAATGCTTATTTAAAAAAAAATTTTTTTTTTTCAGTAGTTATGCTGGGGTACAGGTCCATGGAGCTCTTCACTCAGCCATGCCAGAAGCTCCTCCCTTTCGTTTTTATTAATAAAGGTGTTTAAGGGCGATGATTTTTCCTTTTTTTTTTTGAGACAAGAGTCTCACTGTGTTGCCCTGGCTACAATGAGTGCTGTGGCGTCAGCCTAGCTCACAGCAACCTCACACTCCTGGGCTCAAGTGATCCTTCTGCCTCAGCCTCCCGAGTAGCTGGGACTACAGGCATGTGCCACCATGCCCGGCTAATTTTTTCTATATATTTTTAGTTGGCCGATTAATTTCTTTCTAATTTTTAGTAGAGATGGGGTCGCGCTCTTGCTCAGGCTGGTCTCGAACTCCTGAGCTCAAACAATCCGCCGGCCTCGGCCTCCCAGAGAGCTAGGATTACAGGCGTGAGCCACCGCGCCCTGCCGCAATTTTTCCTCTTTTCATTGCTATTTAAGTATTCCATTGTCAAAAGACAATCAGAACACATTTAAAGAAACAATTGGCTTTTATTTGCAATTCTAGACTCTAGAATGAGTGTTTTGATGAGCTGAACAGAGGAGTTTGGTTTTATAAAAGGGCTGAGGAGAGCAAAAACAGAAAACAAAAAGTGAATTGGTCGTTTCAAAGTTACTTTTCTTGTAAACGTTAAAACAGAGAGGACTTCCTTATCATGCCAGCTAGGGCTGGCCTGCTTGGGGATTTTTGCTATTATCTCTTGCTCTTTTGATTTCTTGAAAGGTCAGAAAAACAACTTAGTTTTGGTTTGGTGATGTGGAACGTTAGCATGAATAACTCCATTTTGGTTTTGTCTGTTGGGCCTAGTGCAGGAGCTCAGTCCAAACTAATAGTCTCCTATAAATTTTACTTAACACCATGGATTGTGATACAAAATGTTTTATTTTTCAGAAAGTCCATTCTCCTTTCAACCCAGAGTTGTTTTGTTAGGTAGATAGTGAGGGATATCAGGTCTCCTAGGGACAAAAGTGGGTGCTGTTGCCCCCATCTTTGTCCCACCCAACCCTAATTCTCCATACCTGGGGAATGAGGGAATGCCCTATGAATCTGCCAATTAGAACTTGGTGTGCCAGTTGCAAAAGAATGCAGAGGACTCTCTAGCCTATGGGCCAAGCCACATGGGTACCATAAAGTCCAGAAAGTGACACAATTAAGGCTCAGGTCATGTGACTCCCAACTGTCCAAAGTGGTTCCATGGTGACCTCTGAACCATGAGGGAGGTCCCTATCCAGGCACTATAAAATAAGACACACACCATAGCCAATTTTTCTCTTGGCCCTTCCTTTTGCTTGCCCTGCTGTGACAATGGGTCCGGTCATCATCTGTGGTGTATGTACTATGCTCCATGAACCTATATCTTGCTCTTTCCCTATAATCCTATTTTTCCCTACTCAATAAAACTCATTTTCGTGCTTGCCTAACTTTGTCATGTCTGGTCATTCTTCAGCCATGGGTGCACCAGGAACTGACAGTTTCAGGCTAAAACCTAACAGTTTATAGAAGGTTTTAAAATTTATAGGTAGAAGAACCTTTTTGGTTTCATTTTTTAATTGTTTCTTTTTATCGAATTATAATCAGAGCATATTGTTTGTAATATTTCTACTTTAAAAACTTACTGATTTTTGTGTGCCTTAGTCTAATCAATGTTTGTGAATTTTCAGTGTGTGCCTGAGGTTTGTTTCTATTATCATGGTTTGTGTACATCCAAAATAACTACCTTATTGATTATGCTGTTTAGATTTCTTATATCTTATTTTTCATCTTCTTGGCCTATTTTTTACTCAGAGTGGTATATTAAAGTCTCCTATTATTAATTTTTTTCTATTTCTTTTTGCATCTCCTATAATTTCTGTCTTAAATAGGTGGTACTTTAATTATTTCGTATATAGTTATTTATAACTGTTATATCTTCATTGTGAAAGGTGGCCATTTTAATCGAATCCTGCCTAATTAGAAATAATTTTCACATAAACTTCCAATCTAGTTCATTAAAAATAATGTCAATAACAGTATGAGAACAATGAAACAAATTTGATTTGTCCTATATCCTACCCTCATTTCCTCAAAAAGGAAAAAACCTTTCTGTTTTCATTTGCACTCAACAGTTGCAAAAGATCTACCTATAGATTCACTGGAAGGAGATGATTTTGAGACGGAATTCTCATTTCTGAACAGCCTTCTAAGTCCTGGTTTTTCAAGTACTGGTGAATTTACCCAAGAATGCCAGACTGCTTTTGGGAGCCCCATTGCCAGTTTCACGTCCCAGGAGCCTTCTGTGGGGTCTGAGCCTCTTGCTCATTCCTCTCGATTCCTTCCCTCACAACTCTTTGACCTTGGCCTTCATGCTGCTGGAGCTTTCAACAGTAAGTGTCTTTGAAACATTGGGACACATGTGCCTTATTTAATCTTTGTGAAGCAAAACTATGTGCTTGTTGATGCTAGAATCAACAAGGAGATCGACTTTAACTTCAGTACTACTAGATAAAATCTGTAGACATACCAATAAAATTGGAAAAATATCAAATATAATCATGAATGGAATCTGTCAACAAGGCTGAAACAAGAGCTGCTTCCCTGCCACCTCACGAAACCCCACATTTTTGTCTTTTTTACTTTCCCAGGTGTCTGGTTTAAAACACCTGACCTACTAATTACTTTTACCTAGGGCAGGTGATACTGTTTCTTCCATCAAGCAAAACCCAGTGTGTTCTCATCCTGTGGGTTCAGAGTTGACAAGAGCTCTGGAGCCTGGTTCCAGGGTGGTCTTCTAGGCAAGGCGGCAGGAGTGGAGGACTGTGGGAGAAAACGGGGTGAGGGTGTTCCTGAAGAAATTGTACTCACCTGCTGTCCAACTCTGCACCTTGGGAGTCATTTTGTTCCCCACATCATGTATGAAATAGTCCGGTCAGTTCTGTTTCTGAAACATGTCTCAAATTTCCCACTCCTCTTCTCTGCCTCCACTGCCAGAGCTATTTAGAGCCACATTTCATTTCCTGGGTTGCTGCAAGAGAGTTCCTAACAGGTCTCCAACTCCAATTCATCCTCCACACTCCCTCCAGAGGTCTCTTTCCAAGAAGCAGATTCTGGTGTCAGTAACCATGCTTACATTTTTTAAAAATGAAGGCCCATTTGGTCCAGGAGAAAACCTGCCTCTACCTGCATTCCATCCTTATCTCCTGCCTCACTTCAAAATACTTACAGCATTTTGTGTAACCATATCGAGTACTTCTAGATCCCTCTGAGGCATTTTTGCTTGTGTTGCCTTTTTTGCTTATGATGTTCAGTAATGGAGCTTGGGCTTGAGCTTGAGCATTAGATTCCCAATCCAGCGTTTTCTCCATGACTGCCAATCCTCGCAGCTTCCTCAGTACTGCCAACTGGAAGTGGTTTCTCCCTTTTCTGGTCTCCCACAGTACTTTATCTGTTTTCATGGCTGTAATCATTGTTTATCTTGCCTTATATCCCTGTCTCTTATCCCCTAGGAGATTTTAACCTCTGGAAAAGGTTAAAATCACAGCACCTAGCAGTGTCTTAATGCATTATACTTGTATTAAAATACTTATGTTCATTATCAACAAGCATCCCAAGGACATGGTATGTGGGGTGAGTTATCTTTGTGCTTTCTGTGACAGCAGCAAAAGTTAGCTCAATAAGTAAAATAAATATCACTTAAATAATAAGTAAGAACTTACTGAATAGCCTAAAAGTATTATTTGATAAAGAGGCACTCTATCTAGGATAATTCAGGTGTTTTTCTATAGTAAAATTGTGGAAAATATTTATTCTTGCATGGCGTATCAATGATCCAGTAGTTACAAAGATTTACAGATTCATTCTCTACTGTGAACTCCTACTCCTCTTTCTCCATAACTTGCCACATCTCTGGCAGCACTGGATTTTTCTTTTAGTTTCTGGCAATACAATGCCCACAATATTTTTTTCACCACTCAAAATATTTGGTGTGATCCTTGCCTACAGGCACACAGGGTATTTCCATTTCATAGCTGAGACAGTTGAAAACCCACAGTGTTTGAGTAACTTGCTCCAGGTCACCAAACAATTTAAACATTTAAGAGGTGACCAAAATCAGGTTTCCTACCTCTTCATACAGAACTCTTCTCTTCACCAGCCTTTCCTTTATGTCCACTTTTTCTTCTGTTATGTAAACCAGGAAAGGGAGCTGCCATTAGAGTTAAAAGATCTGTGTTCTAGGAACCCCATCTAACTTGGCCTCAAATGATCACTTCTATACAAGGAAAGGATTAGGCAGGATAATGTAAGTTCCTTTCTAGTTCTGTGTCATAATTATAGCATAAATCATTTTTCATGTTGTAGCAAACATTTCCCCGTGTTCCCATAGTAATGACACTTTAAAATTACATAGTATTGTCACTTTATATACCATAATCTACTTAATTCCTTCCTTATTGTTTCTCCTTGTTCACTATTACAGATAATGCTACAATAAACATAATCATGCATGTACTTTTTCCTTCAATTACATTATTTCCTTAAGATAAACTGCTAGGAATGGGATCACTGAATCCAAGGGTATACATAGATTTATAGGTTTCAACATTCTAATTCTCAGGCCTATTCCCTCTCTTTCTGATTCCTTAGAACTTCTCTTTCTATACCTTTTCTATGTGCAAAAAATCAAAACAAAACCCTATGTATTTATTTCAAAACCACTTTGAAAAATGTAAGGAAATCTAACTCTAGCTGGAACTAAATTTAGATGATTGAATCAAACATATAACTGTGGATAAATTTTCAGTGTTTTATACCTCTTATACTGTAGAATCTTACTACGGCACAAAGACTGAAGGACTTAGATATTTTTACCTGTTCTTGTTTTTTCTGATGATACTTCCTACTTCATTAACAATGAATAATTCTTACTTCCCTTCCCACAGGCTGGGTCTCCCAAGAAGGATCAGAACTTCCTCTTTCACATATTGATAACCAGCCAGTGCCTTCACAGAGTCAAAAGAAATTAACAAGATGTAAGTTCTTTATATTCTTTGCCATTGCATTAAGAATCAGTTAAATTCAGATAAATTTAGAAAAGGATCACTTTATAGTCTTTACCTCATATTGTCTAGAAAAATAATGAGTTATGATTAAAATGAAAGTTATACCTGGCTATCCCTCACCATGGAGAAACTGTGAGCTTGTCATAGTATACCAAATTCTATACTCTAATCTTTTATACTTTGTGTTAAAGTTTATTGATAATTGATACACATTGAAGATAGAAGATTCTTTTTGATTACAGGATACCTATTGACAAAGAATGCATTCAGGCAGTTAAGTTGGTTAATAACCACATTAATCATTTTTAAGTGTACAGTTCAGTAGTGTTAAATCTGTTCACATTGCTGTGAAACAGATCTTCAGAACTTTATCATCTTATAAACCCAAAACTCTGTATCTGTTAACTCCTTTCCTCTTCTCCTCAGCTCCTGCTAACTATCATTCTACTTTTTTTTTTTTTTTTTTTGAGACAGGGTCTTCCTTTGTTGCCCAGGCTGGAGTGCAGTGACCCAATCATAGCTCACTGCAACCTCGAACTCCTGGGCTCAAGTGATCCTCCTGCCTCAGCCTCCAAGTAGCTGAGACTGACTACACACCCAGCTAATTTTTCTTATTTTTTCATAGAGATGGGGTCTCACTACGCGGACCAGGCTGGTCTAGAACTCTTGGCTTCAAGCAATCCTCCCGCCTCAGCCTCCCAAAATGCTGGGATTACAGACATGAGCCACTGTGCCTGGCCTTATTTTCTGTTTCTATGAGTTTGGTTAATTTAGATACTTCATACAAGAGGAATAATGCAGTATTTTTTTTTTTTGTGACTGGCTTATTTCATTTAGTGTACTGTTCCCAAGGTTCATCCTATGGCATGTGACAGGATTTCCTCCTTTTTAAAGCTGAATAATATTCTATTGAATGAATATACCATATTTGGTTATCTGTTTATCCATTGATCACATTTTTTAAACACCCTTCTACTGCCCTCAATACTCTGCTATAGAGAAGAGACTTCTCTTCCCATTTTATTTATTATCAGTATAAATTCATATGTTTTCAATGATTTATAATCATCACTGTACTTAATCATTTTGGTGCTCAAATTGCTCATGTTTTGGGCCAATGGAAGCCCTTTCAGGCTGACTTCTGAATCCATATGATAGCAATATTTTTAAATTTTGAAATAATTTCAGATTTATAGAAAGACTACAAAAGTAATACAAAGTATTCCCATATGATCTTCACTCAGGTTTCTCAAAATGTTACCATGTTTGGTAACCATGATTCTCTAAAATATGACCATGTTTTATTTTCTCTTTCTCTGCATTTATCTGTAAATTTCTTTTGAAATATTTTAAGTAGCAGACATAATGCCTTTGCCACTAAATATTATCTATTTCCTGAAACCAAGGACATTCTTTTGCATAATCACAATACAATGATCAAAATCAGGAAATTAACATCGCCATAGTATCATTATCTATAGTAATCTATAGATCTTATTCAGATTTGTCATTTATCCTACTAATGTCTCTACAGAGAAAAAGGTTTTGTTTTGGTTTTTCCTAGTCCAGGATCATACATTGCATTTATTTGTCTGGTCTTTTCAGTTTCTTTTAATCTTTCCCCAATCTTTGTCTTTCATGACCTTGACTTTTTTGTAGTGTACAGGTCATTTATTTTGTAGTGTATTCATTGAGTTGGATTTATTGCTGGTATTACTTTATGAAAATTACATTTATTTGGGCTCTTTTTCTCTCTATATATAATTCAATTTCTATTTGCTATCCTGTAAGACTCTCTGGAGGCAATAATAGCATACATAAGAAGAGGCCCCATAAAAAAATTTAAGAGACCTTCATTTTCAATTGTGACTGATTAATGTAAAACTATCCTACATTTGCATAATACTGTACAAATTTTACATACTCATTAGAACCTCTCAACAGCTGCATGAGAGAGGTCAGGTATTACTATAGTGACCACCTGTCCTGGTTGACACCTATTCTTCCAGCATAATTAATGGCCCCCCGTTTAGTCTCAAGTATCTTGATTTAATGATGAACCATACGGTTATTACTTTACAGATGAGGAAAGAGTTCCTGAGGTTAAATGACTTGCCCAGTATTACTCCTTAGTAGGTAGTACACCCAGGACTTGAAGCCAGAACTTGTGTGGGTATCACTGATACTACCTCAGGGTACCCAGAAACAGAACTGGACACAAAGTGAGTGAAGCTTTCACTCTTCCCTGATCCTTGAAGCTTAGGATCCTCACAACTCAAACCCCATCCCCCTGTTCTATGGTGTTAACATGATTGTAAAAGAGGATTTCCTTGGCTCTTCAGAGTAGGATTGCCTTCCACTGCCCACCATGAGTCTGGTTTCACATCCAGTTCTTAGGATTGTCCTCTGGGTCTCAACCCTGCTTTCTGGACCCCTCGGCCTTCAAGGGCCTAGCTTTCTGAGGTGACCCACTGTGCCACTGTGCATTCTTTATTAGTCCTAGCCCTCACCCTCGTATACCCTTGAGTATCTGCCACAGTGCAACTTGTAGACTATTGAGATAGAAAGTTTTCCAATCTCCCTAAGGAGATGTGAGGGATTTTATTAACAAGAAGTTGTATCTGAGACACAATACACATCATAAAATGTTATGGATATCAAAAAATTTAAAAGTGCACATGGAAAAGACAAAGAAAACTACTATAAACCAAAATGACAACTGTTAGGTGTATTAATGTGGTAGGATTAGGGGGATTTTTTCCCTTGTGTCTAATATTTTTGTAATACTTTTATAATAAACACATATTTTAAGCATTGAGTTTACATCTTTTACTTCATAGGAACAAAAAGATTACTTTAAATTTTAAACTTATCTGAGAGCCTTCTACCTATAAATTATCTTAAATGTTTCTATGAGACTATATTCTTAGAGCAGCATACAATTACTTAAATATAGGAGCCTCAGCAAAGCACAAGGTATCTGCATTAATATTTCAAAATTATCCTTAAGGGGATATAATTGATTATTGTCAGTTATCTTTTTTATTCAAAAGCAGCATCTACTTCAAAAGCATAAACACTGTACGAAAATATTTTAAAAAGATGAAACTCTTTAATGTGTTTTTTTCTTTTTTAATAGCCCCCAACAGTGGTAGTCAAGACATGTCAGCCTGGTTCAATCTATTTGCAGACTTGGATCCTCTTTCAAACCCAGATGCTATTGGACACTCAGATGATGAACTTCTTAATGCTTGACTCAAGTTATAATGTCACTTTAGTGGCCTTGAGACATCAATTTTGCAACATATTGCCTTTGTGGAAAGGAGCTTATATTGTAACCCACACACAAAAGCATGGTGTTTGTGAATATATCACCTGTCAGTCAACTTTAACTTTAGAGAGAGGGTAAGGACCACATTTGAATAGATTAAGTACACCTTTAATATCTTGGATTTGCAGCTGTTGATGCTATGTGGAAAATATTAGAAACTACTGAGTGTGGTATTTACATTCCAATATTTATGTCAAAAATAACAGGAATAATTCTGTCAATGAGGAGTTGGACTATTTCTTTGGAAAGCCTATTTTTATGTTTAAGTTGCCTTGCTGGCTGTGAGAATTCCTGTGTGGATAAAAGACAGCATGTAAAATGGGTTGTGGTTTGAGGTTGCTTTTTAAATACAACAGTGGGGGGGGGGGGTTCTGTTGTGGAAAATAGCATTAGACCCAGACCAGCTTTGTGTCTGATTAGAAAATTATAATAAGATTTGAGGACTCAATTTGCTTTAATGAAATCACAGAGAAACTTAGTACTTGTTTTTCTTCATTTGGAGGCTAAAATGTAATGTTACCTTTCATTCATCCAGAATCATGGACACCCCCCAATTCCATTACTAAATTTTCATGGGGGAAGTAGAAGGCTGATTAATTTGCTAAGCCCATCCTCTGTAGAAACAGAAAAATCCATCTTCCCATCTCATAAACCACAGAATGCCTAGAAATATTCAAGTCATTTTGTCAGTGTCCTCAGGCCTGGTTTTTCACACTGCTACGGTAATATGCAGTGTTCGTATTCTTCCTGAAAACAAGGGGAAAACATTCCCTAAGCAACTGGCAATAGTATTTCTGATATTACCTATGAGGGAGACAATTCTAAACACCTTACCCTTATACATATTTGCATACTTACCTCGTATTTCGTGACATGATTTAACCCAGAATACTTTCTGTCAGAGATACCGGAAGCTCAACGTGATCAGTAAGGGAGTGTTTTATTTTCCATTTCTGTGGGTGACATCATCTAAGGCTCTATTTGATTACTAAGCAAAAACTGTTATCCTTAGAGGGTTTAGAACCTAAGTATTGGGAGAGAAGACTATTTAATGGAAGTTAGTGTAAGCTGATGAAAACGTAGCTACTGTACAGTCATCAATCACTCAATTTTCTGTCCTTTTTCTTGCTCACCCTTTCGTTTTGAGGCAATTTTCCAGGTGTTTTATTGTCGTCATCCAGTCCATTACATTTCCGTAAGAAAACATTTTAACTAAGTTGTTCACAGTAGGTTTCACGTGCTCTTAGTTCTGAACAGGCTCATTTAGAAGAGATTTGCTTGTAATGTCCAAGTCATTATATGTAGAAAACATTTCGACGGACCCAGAATAGGTAAAATGCAGTCCACCTCTCATCCACAGTCTGGCCTAAATACAATATTAACTGCCCACAAGCTCTCCAGAAAACCATTACAATGGCTAAGTACTCCACAAGCTGGAAAGACCTTACCTGAGGGTCAGAAACATGGACTCAGGAAAAGGTGATGAAGTCTTTCCTTAAAATCTTTTCACAATATTATTCATATTTCTTTATTTGATTTCAATGAACTTTTATCTTCAGAAGCATTTTTAAAAATAATTTTAGTTGTGGTGGAATACATAACTGATGTCAACGATTTAAGAAGCATTTTTTAACTCTTCCTTTGTATTCAGTGAAATTTTCCAGAACACAATACTATCATTGTTTTGCCAAGATTCAATCACCAAGGTTATGATTCTGAACCACAATCTATAATCTATACCCATGGTGGGCTCTGGTGCTCTCAACTTTTGAGTACCTCAAAAGATGCTGACTTCATGTCTTTAGTTGGTGCCATTTTTCTTTGCAACGGCTGCCTAATGCATTAGTTCCAAGATATTTCTGTATCTCCCACATGCATGCAAAGCAGTCCTTATTATCTAGTATAAACAAAGATGTTTCAATGAGGAAAACCAGAAGCCTGAATCCCAGACTATAAACATGAAGAGATAATATCCTCGATATTTCAAGGGCAAAGGTTCTCCCCAAATTGAGACATACAAGGGATTTTTATTATTCAGTTCTTAGTTTCTGTGACAGTTCCTCTTTCAACAGAGTATATATTAATAGTTTCCCATTTAACCCAGAAGCAATATTAACTGCCTTAACAAGTCTAGTTATAATTTCAACAAGTCTAACAACTCTATTTTTGAAGAGCATGTAACCGTTACTAAAATAAAGGTAACCATATTTCCTCAACATTAGTTATTTGAGGGTCAATCATTAAAATTTTTGTAGTCAGAATGAGAAATTTTGCTCTATTAAACCAACATTGCAAATATAGGAAACCAACCACACATTCAGTAAAGGGTGAAAGCACAGGACAGAAAGGTGCCCCGTTGCTCTTTGTCTCAATCTAGACCATCTATTCAATAAGAAGTAAATTCATCATTCTTAACCAAGGGTAGATGAGAATAACTCTTTCAAAATAGGTATGTTTTATGTTTAATAGGGGGAAATACTTTTACTTTATTTTATACTGAGTAAGAATGCATTTAAGCTTAAAAAAGCTCCAGAGGAACTAAAATTTGCCTACTATTTCTACAGCCACTTTATAGGAGAGTCAGAGTCAGAAATACCAGGGCATAATAAGGTCAGATCTGTGTAACTTTGTATCATTTGAAATCTTTCATTAATTGTAGAAGATAGATCTGATATGATTAGAAACGAACTGTATTTCCACAAAATAGGTTTTAGTATTTGCACATTTAAAAAACTGTATTTCAACTATGGATATTTCATATAACTATCCTTATAGACCATTTAGAAATATAGAGGTCTTATAGCATTAGAACAAATTAAGTTTAAATGTACTCTATTTTTCTGAGCCTCTTTTAATAAAGATTTCGAGATGGCATAAAACAAAGTTTGTTTCCTAAAGTGTTCAATGCTAATCCAATTATTGTTCCTTATTCAAAAACTTGGGTTTTATCTCAAGACCATAGCAGTAGGAAAGTAGATTGAATTGATAAGGATACCTTAGAATGAAAATAAAACTGGGGCAATTAATACCTTTGTAAGACTTATTCTTTCTAATTTACTTCATACAGAAGGGGACCGTGTAAGATTTGGGAAATAACAATGTCTGTTCTTTGTATAAATACTTTCAGTAACAAACACAAACTATCGAATATCATAATTCTGAGCCCAGAAACAATAACCAATGAAATATAAGCCGTAGTACTTAACCTGATTTGTTGAAGGCAGGAATAAAAAAAGAGCACCAAAATTGATCCAGTTATTTCTATCTTCCACGGTGTCGTCAGCACCCTGCATTTCTCTACCCTGAACATTGAAGCAGCCCCAGAATCTTGGGATATAGAAATTAGGAAGGAAATACAAACTTTAAAATATTAATTCAGTAGTACTGCAAGTAATGCATTTCATACAACAGTAAGGTGTTTAAATATGGCAAAGAAAACCTATGGAACAGGATGGGAAGAAAAATGGTTGGCTAGGATGCGTCACATCCAGAAACCAAACAAAATACCTTCTTCCATCTTTTAGGTACCATTTAAAAGAAGACTACAGAGTTCAATCAAAAACTGTCTTTGGCATTTAAAGTCAAGACATGATTTTTCACTCAATGGAGTAAACAAACCATTCATTTGCTAAGGGGTAAATGCAAAAAGGAGACAAAGGTCTAATTGGTGTTAATAGGCAAGATCTTGTATGTTTTTACGTTTGTAGTGTACATTTTTAAACTTCCTGTTTTCTTGCTCCCTCAACATCACCACAAACAGGCTGTGAGCACCCAGCCCAGGCAACCATGTGCACCAGTGTGATACCAGTGGCCCCTGCCAGAAGTTCCCTTCCTATCCTCCCCTGACCATGACCAGTAACATTCAAATGCACCAGTGAAATACCCTCACACCTTTCTTGTGTACTTCACCCTGCCCCACGGCACTTGCCCACGAGTCTTAGCGCTCTCTACCTCCTCTACCCCTCCTCTCTACCCCTCCCATGTGACCCCGCCCCCCACACTCAGTGACTAAATAGGACTTGTGAGTATAATAAACTTTTTTTTGTAGTGCTTTCTAGCACACCATTTGAATTTCGATCCAGGTGATTTCATTTTATTGTCTTCTCTCTGTAAGGGACATACCAAGTTATCAAGATTTAAAGGCCACCTTTGTAAATTTTCCTCAAAAAGGGTAAGGCCAGCCGTCGTGGCTCATACCTATAATCCTAGCATTCTGGGAGGCCGAGGTGGGAGGGCTGTTTGAGCTCAGGAGTTTGAAAGACCAGCCTGAGCAAGAATGAGACCCTGTCTCTACAAAAAATACAAAAATTAGCTGGGCAGGCATCGTGATGTGTACCTGCAGTCCCAGCTACTCGGGGAGGCTGAGGCGGGAGGGATCGCTTGAGCCCAGGAATGTGAAGTTGCAGTGAGCTAGACGACACCACTGCACTCTAGCCGGAGCAGCAAAGCCGGGGCTCCCCCTACCGCCCTGATAAAAGTCAGGTTAATAAAATATTTACCAAAAATGTGACTGAAGATTCTGCCTCTCTAAAAGATGCACTCCCCAAATTAAAGAAAACACTTCTCTTTTATTTCTGCAGCTACAGAGCTTGAAAATTTGTGTCGCTAATTTCCTTGGTCAGGAACTGTCTAACCAGCTTCCTTTCTTTTGGTCCTGTAAACCAAGCTGCCAGCAGTTGTAGCAAAGAGGACCACAAAGGAGAACAAACAAGGCAATGGTCCAATGACACATAATCTGCAATGATACCAACATGTTTTTTTTTGGTGGGGGGAGGCAGGGTCTTATTCTCTTGCCCAGGCTAGAGTACAGTGGTGTCATCATAGCTCATGGCAACCTCAAACTCCTGGGTTCAACTGATCCTCCTGCTTCAGCCTCTCGAGTTGCTGGGACTACAGATGCACACCACGATACCTGCCTAGCTAATTTTTCTATTTTTAATAGAGACAGGGTCTCACTTTTGCTCAGGCTGGTCTTGAACTCTTGAGCTCAAGCAGTCCTCCTACCTCAGCCTCCCAGAGTGCTAGGATTATAGGTGTGAGCCACTGTGCCCTCCCCCTTCTGGTTGATTACAGCCCTCAGTAAGAAATACTTTTTACATTACAACCTAGGATGTAGATTGGATTTCTCTAACAAAAGTTTTATACACAAAAAATACTCTCCTTATGTATAAACATACTTGTGTTTTCTATTCTGCTACATTTTCTAAAACGTTAGCTGGACCCATTTAATTCATTTCAACACCCACAGTTTGAAAAACATTCAACCAAAGAGATACAAAGGCTCTTGGTATTACCATACTATGGTCCACTAGAGGTTTTTAAAAGACACTTTAAAAGCACAATCTTAACAAGGAAAAAAACCTGACATTTGATGTACATCAGCAGGTAACTGCTATGAAGAGGATACTACAAGTACTGTATGTCACGTATTTGTTGCTCTCACCCTCTTTAAAGGTGGAAGGAAAACGCTGAAAGGGAGAAAACTATGTGCCAATTTTAGAGATTCTCTTTACATTTGATGTGATGTTAAATTATAATATAAAGTTAACCCAAAGTGTTTAAAAAATTTTAACACAGTAATCACTTAAAACGTGTCCCTGCTTTCTAAGAGATTACAGTGCAGCCTCTGACCAACTCTGTTGTGTGGACATACTAAACCCCTCTGCCTAAACAACTGTCTTGCATATATAAACCACTGTCACAAAGGAAGAAAATGGCTGACTTAGCAAAAACTAAAGGAAAAAACCCAACTTTTACGTACTTTAGAATGAAATTAAGAGACTACCCCAGCTAAATCATCTCTGTTAAGTACCGAATTACTAATACACACCTTTTTTTCAGTGTGCTGCTTATATTTTAATGTTTGCTTAGCTTTGTGCTACACACAAAGATCAGGTACTGTCAGTTCTACAGCAAGTAGAGAGTAGCAAGGAACCTGCTGCTGAACACAAACACATTTTTCTATAGGCTAGAAATGTCTGAAAAGAAAGACAGTATGAATTTGAGACATTCATAAAAAGTCACAGAAAAAATTCTCAAGAGGAACAGACTTTATTTTAAACATAGTTCTATTTTCTTGTGAGGCAGCAACAAGTGTTCAGGTACAGGGAGTACATAAGTACATAGTAACAATATCACCATTAGAAATACTGTTTTTTGGGAGAATTGTTAGAAAGACAAATTTTTTAAAAATTGTGTTTTAAAAAGATTTGTACAACTTCAACAAAGATGAAAGATGGAGAGTTTAAAAAAAAAACAAATTATATTCTTCAACAGGATTGTATAAATAAAATATTGTTTTCGGCTGCTCTGCTTATCATTAATTTAGGCAGAGTAAAACTTAAAGTGCGGAGGTAAGTATTTTTAGCTTTATTTTGTAAATGCAGCACTTCCAGTCCTCCGGTTTTGAAACATCAAAATTCCAAGCATTAAGGAATGAATCTTAAGTTTAGAACAGATTTAGTAGTGGTGATTTTTCTTTTATTTTCCTTAACAAAAGGAAATCTTGACAATCCAGTCCTAATCTCAGAAAGTTATAAATTCTGCCATTTTTTATACCTTTTTCCAGTGAAAGCCAACCATTAAAATGGGGGAAAAAAGGCTTTCATGTTGTCAGATATTCCACAGTTAGCAAGAGCACCTTCCAATAGACTGATTTGAACTGTGGTCATAAGTATAAGAAACATTTTAAACAAATTGAATAATCTAGTTCAAAAATAATTTTGGCATCCATGCTCACCATATTTAACCAAAGAGGCAAAACTAGTATTTTAAAAAACATAATTGTTCACGAAAGCCATGACAAATAAGACTTACTCATGATGAAAAACAGTAAATTTATATGTTTTGTTATCAAAAGGAAGAAACTGTTCGAGGATTAAAAAAAAAAAAAACCACAAAGATTGACAAAGTGAGTAACCAGATAACAGCTACTTCTGTTGGAAGATACATGCCACCCATTTTTTTTTACTTGATGGAAGTAAATTTATTTAAGATTAAAAAAATTAAATTATATTCCCATTGAAGCTATTCTATTTACCTTCTGTACAGTTTACTACAGAATAGAGTGTAATTTTAGAAAACAATATTATGCATTCTATTGAGTGTCACATTTCACTGGAAAGCTGGAGACCCATTTAAGAAAATCAACTGCCTTATTTAACTAAAGATTAAATAAAACAGGTGAATGATGTATGGTTACTTTTTTTTAAAGACTGTGATAAAGCTTATATGCTTAAAAAGTAGCCCTTTGGCACTGGCAGTTAGAATTGTTTTGTACCTTGTATTTTTTCCCCCCAAATCTCAGGCTCTATTTCTCCCAAACCCAAGGTATATGTCTGGTAGCCACAGAATTCATTTACCTGCAGATTCACATTTGCCTTATAACCAAATATTAGGCTGGAAGTTCTAGTTATGAGACTATAAATAATAAATCTGAAACTTGTTCTTCCATTCTGATCTTAAATTACTTTAAGGATATATGAAACTATACAGAAATATGTGAATTAGACAAATGTACACAACAGAGTAAAAGTGAAAACTTGTTTACAAAGTGGCATTCTAGTTGTAAAACCCCCTTGTGACTAGTGGTGATGGAGACGGAAGAGGAACAGAAGCGTAAGGCAAAGAAAAGAACACAGATTGAATTGGATTCAAGTAATTAAAAAAACATAGTTTTTTTAAAAAGTTTTTAACTACCTCTTTCCCCATTTATAGCAACTCACCTGATTTCAGTTTTACTTTTTCTTCTACACTCAGATAGGGCAAATACTCACATGGTGAAATGGTAAAGTCAAAATGCATAGCAAAGAAGGCAAAGAATCAACGTTCTCAATTAAAAAATTTAGACACCAAATAACTTAGAGGCCATAATGTACTAGCTCCGAGTATAAATTAGTTTTGGATGGAAAAAGTACCAAAATTCATCTAGCTTACCAACTAAAACCTGATAGATTTATTCAAATGTTTGAATTTATCTGATTTATCTAAGTATAACCCCATTTTAAAAGTAACAGGGCTTATTTTAAATTACTTAGATGTTTTAAAGGTGCATGAATGTAAGAAGTCCTTTCAGAAGATTTATTGCTACCCCTAGGTTTTCCTTGATGGAATATGTCTGGACAAGCTGACATATTAACCTTCTAAACTGTGTCCCTTTTATAAGGATTTAAAAACTTTTTTCTGCCTATAATATTTATAGGAACAGTAAATTATTGCATCATAAGGTAGTATATGAAGATATGAAAAGGATGCTTTTTCATCAACACTGCTTGCTGAAACTCATTTTTAAAAAGGGTGGCTCCTTAATCTCACTACCATATACCCAGAAATGAAATACTATTATTACGTGACACTGGCAGTGATTTGTATGTATTAGGATGAGCCCTAATCCAGAAGTTTTCAAAGGTACCTGTCGCTTATGCTCCAAAGCTCTTGTCTCTTTTCCCCGCTGGCATGTTGGAGGGGAAACCAGCAAAATCTGTAGGCAACAAATCTCAGTGCCAACCACCATAAAGAAAATATCAGTTGCAAGATTCTGTGGCCACGGATCGCTATTCAATGGATTACACTCCTGGCAAACTACTAACCCCGACCAAATCCACAAGACAACAACATCACAAAGCAAAGGAGGAAATCCATGCACAGCCATTTTAGGATCTCTTGGGGCTATGATACAGTGATGATTAAAGGTAGAATGACACCTGTGGTGAAGGAGGGAGATTGTGTGATATACAGTTCACAGAAAACCAAAGGGACTCCTTACTCTTAGCTAGCAGTCAATACTGGGTAGTTTCCTTTTGGCTCACTGACTTAAAACAAGTTCCAATATGGGTGAGAACATATTAAAGCACTTGTCTTCAGACTATCATTTTCTGACTATATGGTGAAATGCGTACAGGAGTAGTGAAGAAAAAACAGTTTTTACAAATATTTCACCCAAAGCACAAACTTGACATCAAAAAACATAAATCACATAATGTACGAATATTGCTTTTTATCTCTTTTTATATATACTTGTTCAATGCATCTACCATCAATCCTTGTTTGGGAGAATAACACAGTCATGAGATTAAGATTGCTGGGAAAATGTCAACAATCCCTTTGGTCCCAAAGCTGAAAATAGCCAAGAAAAACACACATCTAGAAACAAAACAGAAGCCACCAAAGAATCTTTTGAACATCCTGTTTGCTATGTCTCAGAAAATGTAACATTGGTATTATAAAATAGTCATTTTCATATAAAAGATGGTTCTTGCAGCATCATTCATGTCTCCCTTTGGGAATTATGTTTGCAAGAATCAGGTTTTATGTGGTGTTATTTTTTTTTTTAAATAAGTCTAATTTGAAAGCAAAAAACAATGCGATACTGTCCTTCCAAAGTAAAGAACGAGACATTTCTTGCTTTAATCAGTGCTTTAAGAAAAAGCAGGCTAAGTAAGCACTGAGGGCTGGCCTTCATGAGTGGGGCAGAGTTGTCGGAGGGACTGTTCTTCCAGAAGCCTGTCACATGTCACTGGAAAGCTGGAGCACATCACAGCTAACTGGGAGCACATGATGCCGTCACAGTCAAATGATCCAAGGAGGTTCTCAATTTCCCAGAACAATGGCCACATAGCAGGGGGACCTACCCTTCAGCTTCCTCTATTGGTTCTGGTGGTGGCAGTAGAGAAGGTGATGGCATGACTGTACTTGTTCCTCGAGAGACTCGGTCTTGCTCTGTGTTTGTAGACAGGGAGGCCACAGCAATAGGCTGCAGTAGAGTGGTTGTCATGCCAGTGGTGACTGTCAGGCTATGGCCAGAGCCCTTGAGGGTAAGATCTGGGGTGGGAAGGAGTGGCTTGAGGATGCTGACGAGGCAGAAAGCAGAGCCGCTTTTTGGAATGAAATTCACCTTGTTTTTGTCAGGACAGTAAAAGGCGGGGATTTCGTGAAGTTGTTTTGGCCTAGACATAGAACAGACAACCCAATACTTTTAAGTCACTAAACATTAGAAAAAAGCTCTTTTGTTTTTTAAACAAATAGATAACTTATAGATACATTAAAGTGATAAAAACTCAAGCTATGTCTGTCAAAAGCTTCAAATGCCAAGGGCCAAAGTGCCATTAGACACATGATTCAAATATGTATCTTAGAATGCCAAAAGGACCCCATTCATCATTGATGCTTGCAGTTCCCTGGAGAGCCCTGTTATCATGCAAGGGGCTCAGGCTGATGACCACTGCATTTCAATGAAGACCTAAAACAGCCAATGCAATAACCAATTTCCTAAAGCAAAAGAAAACCTAGATGTTTAAAGACAAAAATGTGTTCCACTACCATGATTTATCCAAGATCTGCACTGTTCTGAAGGGAGATGGCAAGGAAATTGAAGATATACACAATATCTATCTTTTGTAAGTTTTACCACTGCAAGACTAAACTTTAGTAGGCATGGTTTTCTCTTCAAATGCTCTTAAACATCTCTTTGATTGAAACAATTTTTTGAATTAACTGGTTTTCTGAGCAACATAATGTAAATGTAACATCAAAATAGAAACTCCTTTGCTTTTTGAGTTTTTTATTGAAGCCAAATTCTTCCGCTTCCAGGTCCTCCTGAAAATTAACCCAAATTATTGAAAAGGATACTGGTGTTATTGGTATTCCATGAAAACTAAAAATATTTAAAAATGATTAAAATGACACGGGAATGCCACAAAATTAATGTGGGAGAACTTAAATAAATCAAGACAGGTTGATTCTCATCTCTCCTAATGATGATTCAGTCCAATAAAAATCTAAGTGTGCTGAGTATGCACCAGGTTCTGAGGACACAAAAATGAAACAATCAATAAGGAAGAGACAGACTAAATTTATAGTTCTTAGGAGGAGGAGGAGGGTGCTGGAGACAGAACTGTATTTCAACATAATTAGACTCCTTTATAATTTTACTTGTTTTATGCATTCAAAACATTATTCAGAAAAGGGATCCATAAGTTTTACCAGACTGCCAAAGTTGTCCACAGCACAGAAGAGGTTAAGAACTCTGCAAGACAGACTGGTAGATACGGTAACGAAGGTGTGTAAAAAGTTTAGAGGTAGCACAAAGGGGTGGATAACTTGTGGCCAGGAGGAAAAGGGAGAGTTTGGCAGGCAGTAACATCTGAGCTAGGTTTTGAAGAATGAGTGAACAACAGACATGGGAGTGGGCACCAAAAATATGTGTGTTCCAAGCAGACAATGATTAAGAGGGCAGATTTTACTGATTAATAGTGAACAATACCCATGGGTAGCTTTGACAAATATAGCGATTTAAGACAAGGAAAAGTAGATCATTTAAATTATGTTTTTACTTGTGCACTATTCTTTCTTCAATATAATGAAAACTTAATAGGTTGAATATTTTAGTGCCACAAGTATATCTGGATGTATTACTAATAAGAACAACACACATTCCTCTATTTTTATCATCTGAGAGTACGGTTTTAAATTCTTTAAAAAAGACAGGAGATTGAGGTTATATTTCTACAGTTAAATGATGCTTGAATTTTCCTTTGAAGACAGAATTGATGGAGATTAACTTTCATTTTTATATAATAAAAAATTTCTCATAGAGAAAAAGGCTAATTAATTTGAACACCCCCAACCAACTGAGGCCTAGGTTTTTAATTAACTAATTTATTTGTTTGAGGTTATCTTATTAAAAATGACTTAAGACATGTGGCTGCTAATAGATCTCTAGGATGAAACTTCACATTTCTGAAATACAAAGAAATCTCTTGACTTTGATAAAGCTCTTGTTCTGGAACTGTTTTTTTTTTTTGTTAATGACAAGAATTTAAAACCCACTTAACTTCCTTGCTGCTTTCATGAAAACAGATTTATGACATACCTCACACAAAATAACGTAAACAGTAATAACTTGTCTAACTGATCAGATCAAAGCTGTAAGTATTAACATTACTTCAAAGCATTCTTTCAATTTAAGAATCATACAAAGAAGAAAAATCTCAGAACTGGTTTTAAACTTTTATTTTTCCTTAAGCAGTTATTCCAAAAGGATTGTGCCTTAAAATAGATTTAACTAAAAAATACCTCTATATTGCAAAGAAGCCATAACATCTAGGAATCTAAGGTCAAGGAGTTCATTAACTGGGATCAGGAGAGCAAATTTAACTTCATTAAAAAGGTTAATTAAGTGCAGATGGCATAGCTATGTAAGTGCTATGGTATACATCAACAAGAATATAGAGACAGAAGTGCAAAATCTGATTTTGCCCTTTCTGGGCCCAACTCAAACTACCTATTTTTGTTCAGGTAAACAGCCATTTCTAGAAACCAGAGATCACCCCTTATCTCATCCCAAACCCCAGTTCAGGTCAGATTTACTACTTGAAACACAAAGTAAGACTTAGAGAGAAAGGTATTCTTAAAAGAATGTTTAAACAAGCTAAAATTTTAAATTAGGATCCATGATCTACCTTTGCTGCTTTAATGCTAGTGTGTACAGTGGTTTTTCCTCTAATTTTGACACAGCTAGGGCAAAACGGAATTTTTTTTTAGATTTTGAGTAACTTGTTTTATTGATAGAAAGTTAAAACTACCTCTAAGAAATCCACTCTTTGGTTACTACTGATAATTTGTCTTTGGAACATAATTAAAATATTAATAGATTTTTGTGTGCTACACATCCTTTACACCAGTGAAATTTATGATAAACCTTACTTCTAAAAAAAGAATAGTTTTGCCTAATAACAGATCAATGTGTCATAAAACACTGTAATGTGTTAGGGTTTATATTATGTTTCTTTGATGTATTTATCCATATACACACTAGCCTGTCTTTTTTCCACACCCTTTAGATACAAAATAACATTGTAGTATATAGCTCAGATACTAAGTCCTGAGAAATTTTCCAAATGCAATAATCTAAGGCAGGTACCACAAGACACTACATAATAAATATTCAAAATCATTTCGAAAGAAAAATTCAAATTGCTTTTGAGCCAATCAACCATTTCTTTCCGCTTAGGCGAACCCTAATTGCCAATGAGTAAATCAAAGAGCTCAACTCCAAAAACGTACATTTGGACCAGCTGATTTTTACTTAATAGATTGACCCCATTTCTGCTTTCTGGTTCCAAAACAGCAACACAGAAGCAAAGCTGGCCTCCTCTCTCCCACCACAGAAAACCAAAAACAAATATATATTGCTGAGATTATCACCAGCAATATCCCAGAACTCAAATATGAGCATGAGACAGTTCCTAAGCCACAGAGAAATGAAAACAACTCCAAGGAGTAAGGAGAACAGGACTTCCGTGGCATGTCACTCTCCCCCATTCTGCCCAGCACCAAGCATGCAGAAAATTTACCCCCAATTTATAGAAATTCCCAGTTTCTAAGACTGAGGTAGACAACCAGTTTCCCCACCATCCTGGATTCTCTGCCAAGAGACCTGTCCCTGCCTTAACCCACAGGAAGCAGCATCGTGAGTGCCAAAAGGGAGAAATACCCTTGAGGATGGGCAGAGACAAAGCAGAGAGGCAGGACTACCATTTCCAGCCCTGGAACCTTTGCTCTGTAATTAAGCCAAAGGAGACAACGAGTGGCTTTTAAGTAGCATCACACTGTAGGAGGTATGTTCCACAGGTCCCCTGTGCACAAACCCCTAGCGAGCCTTCCCCTTCACTGCTACAATATCCCCTTTGGTACAGGCAGCGCTCCAATCATTTACTAAAGCCATGGCAAACCTGTGCTTAAGGTGCTACCTAGAGCCAAAAAGAGCCAGCAACTTATCAGTAAAGAATCTCTAAGCAAATATATCCACTACAAACCAAAACAAGCAAGACAGAGAAGACTGGAATAACTAACTAACCCTTCAATGCAAAGATAATAGATGTACATCACAAGAAACAATGAACAAGGAACCATGACCTCCCCAAATGGAAAAAGTAAGGAACCAGTGACTGATCCTAATGAGATGGTGATGTGTGAGTTTCCTGACCAAGAATTAAAACCAGCAGTTTTAAGGAAACTCAGTGATCTCCAAGATAACACAGAAAACCAATTCAAAAATTTATCAGAGAAATTTAACAAAGAGATTGAAATAATTTTTTAAAAAAAATCAAACAAATCTTGGAACTGAGAAATATACTTGTGGAACTGAAAAATTCATTAGAGGCTCTCAATAGCAGAATGGATCAATAAGAGGAAAGAAATCAGTGAGCTCAAAGACAGGCTATTTGAAAATACACAGAAGAGAATAAAGAATGAAAAGGAATGAAATCTGCCTATAAGATATAACCGGTGTTCAAGAGGGAGGTGAGCAAGAGCAAGGGGTAGAATGCTTATTCAAAGAAAAGATAACAGAAAACTTTCCAAAACTTGAGAAAGAGATAAAGGTACAGGAAGGTCGGAAAACAAACAGATTCAACCCAAATAAGACTATACCAAGACATATAATCAAACTCTAAAAGGTCAAGGATAAAGAGAGGAGCCTAAAAGCAGCAAGAGAAAAGCAGCAAATAACATATAAAGCAACTCCAATTCATCTGGCGAGACTTCTCAACAGAAACCATACAGGCCAGGAGGGAGTGGAATGACATTTTCAAACTGCTAAAAGAATGAACCCGTTTCTCAAGAACTCTCATGAAACGGTGTAATTCAGTATTTTCAAACTGAACATAAAAATCATCTAAGGTACTGGTCAAAGATGTAGAACTACTGATTCATTAAGCCTAGGATGGGACCTGGGAATCTGCAGTTTCAATAAATTCCTCAGGTAATTATGATGCAGGGAGTACTGGGAACAAATCTGCAGAAATACTGGCTTAAACTCTCAGCTAGCACCAGTTAAAACTGAAAGGCTGACATGGTTTAAAAAAAAGAAAAACTAAAATAAGCAGTTGCTAAAACAAGAGTTTTCAATTACTGTTACAGAAGCAGATATGAGACTGACAGCTGGTGTTTCCCAGTAGAGAAGTTGAAGGGATTCAAAAACAATGTTCTTTGTGTGGCAAGATTATTCAGAATTTAGGTTAAAGGAAGCACTGACAGGAGAGCACATGAGAGAAACAAAAGAATGCCATATTTCAAATCACTGCAAAATCTTCCTGACAGAGGAAAAAGACAAACTGTGAATTGGAGGAGGCTGGACAAACATCAAGTTGTATGGCAGGTTTCACAGTAAGAAAAAGCCAAAAGGTGCAGCCACAGTGAGATGACACGGTATGGGCTAACTAGTATTGTACCCCAAACAATGTTCTATGACCTGATTTGCAGAATCTCATACATACCTAAAACCCTGCAGTCATCACTTGTAAAGCAAGGAGCTATAGCTGCTGAAAACATGAGGCTGTATACCTTCTTGGCAAATTGTGAGTTTAAAAAGGGAGTAACTGACCGAGTACCAGCCAACAAAAGTGTGTGAGTACAGGAGATCACATACGAATGGCACCAGACACCCAAATACTACTGTTAGTTTAAAATTCTGCTTCTTACATTATTTTCATCACAGTGACATGATTCTATAAAGTAACAGAATTAACTCCAGTACTTGGTAGAAGTACCAAGTTTTATTTATTAAAAAAAGTGTTTTTTTTGTTTTGTTTTTTTTTTTTAAAGAGATGGGTTCTCACTATGCTGCCCAGGCTGGCCTCAAACTTCTAGACTCAAGCTATCCTCCCACCTCAGTCTCCTCAGTATCTGGGACTATAGGCATGTGCCACCACGTCTAGACCAATTATTTTTTAAAATTGTTTAAAGAACTGGAGATCAAAAGTGGACAAAAATTGAAGGGGATCTAATCCTTAAAAGAAAGGAGCCACACTAGGTGAAGTCCATGGTCTATCCTAAATAAATATACTATTAAATTCAATGTGTGAACTTGATCAGATTTAGGTTCAAAAATGATAGCCACACGCTGAAACGGATTAATAAGGAACTTAGTGATTTGGCCCGTGACCCTCCAGCACAATGTTCTGCAGGTCCAGTTGGGGATGATATGTTTCATTGGCAAGCCACAATTATGGGACCTAATGACAGCCCATATCAAGGCGGTGTACTCTTTCTGACAATTCATTTTCCTACAGACTACCCCTTCAAACCACCTAAGGTTGCATTTACAACAAGAATTTATCATCCAAATATTAACAGTAATGGCAGCATTTGTCTCGATATTCTAAGATCACAGTGGTCTCCTGCTTTAACTATTTCTAAAGTTCTTTTATCCATTTGTTCACTGCTATGTGATCCAAACCCAGATGACCCCCTAGTGCCAGAGATTGCACGGATCTATAAAACAGACAGAGATAAGTACAACAGAATATCTCGGGAATGGACTCAGAAGTATGCCATGTGATGCTACCTTAAAGTCAGAATAACCTGCATTATAGCTGAAATAAACTCTAAATTACTGCTAAAAAAAAAAAAAATGATAGCCACAGAAGATACTTTGGAGACAACTGAGCAAATCTGAATAACAACTGGGTATCAACTGATATTAAATATTATCTTAGGTATGATAATAGTATTGTGGTTATGTAGGAGTACTGTGGTTACTTTTAACAAACACTATAAAATGTTATCAATTATATAATCTGCGTGGTAGATATATGAGTGCTTGCTATACTATTCTTTCAGCCTATGTGAAAATTCCTGTAATAAATTTTTTTTTAGGGGGGGAGAATACTTACGAGCATTCCTCAAAGACTTTGACCCTTTCACAGCCCTCAGGAGGTTCCCTTTTGAACATGTAACTGTTGTTAGGTTTTGGTGAGGTTGCATATTTGGGCAAAGGAGAGTTGTTCCCATTCTCTGCAAGAAATGATACACTAGATTACTAAGAAATACTACTACATAAAAGCATAGTCATGCTATGTTTAATTGTTCTTGAGCCACTCTCCCCTGGCCATGAACTACTTAAGGGCAGAAATAGTGCTTTATCAACATCACTCCAGTATCAAACATGATTCCTGGTAGAAAGGAAATAATTAATGCTTACTAAATAAATGCATAAACATATAAGAGATTTTTATTTCTTTTCCACTTACAATTATCATAGCCTAGACCTATATCACTTTATCCTTGCTACTGAACTGACTGTATATATATGCTATACCACAGTAAACACACTCAAATGCCACTTCCATTTTTCCCAGTTCAAGTATCTGAAATGGTTCTTCATTGCTTGCTGATCATTAACTCTTGGCCTGCCCTTCAGAATTTCTCAATTTGATTTCTCTGCTCCTCTGGTTACAATCTCTGTTCCAGGTAGTCAGCCACTGTATGCCAAACATTTCCTTTTTGCCTATGAACTTCCCCTTACCTAAAGGGGGTAACTTCTGTTCATTTTCCAAAACTTCCTTCAAAGTTTGGCTCAAGGTTTTTGAAATCTTTCAAAATTAACCCTACCAGAGAGAACACTTCTTTACTCTTGATATTCCTGTTTGGTGTTAATGTCCTCAGTTTACACTACATTAACTTAAAATTTCTGATCTGTTTCATAACTGTTCTACATTTTCAGTCTGTGTCAACTAAGTTATAAACTCCTTGCTGGCAGTAGCACCCTGGCCCTGTTTTCTTGCAAAAGAAATTCACAGAAGCCAACCAGCTACCAGCTTCCTGAAATCAATGCAGCAGGACACAAAATTTGTTGAGTTTATTTAAGGAGTTCCTACATGTTATTGATTTTAAAGTAGAAAGTATGAGAAATCAAGGGATAGGTTTTAATAGCTATGTTTTATCTGACCAGAAGCTAGCAAGAAAAGGTCCAAATAACAACAGTTTATAACTGTCCACAGTTTAAAGCGACTTCTTCAGTGAATCTTCTGTCTTCTGCACTTGCTATAGTTTCAGTGATTTAGGTGATTAGTAGTAATGGCCAGTCCTAACAGTGGAGGATTTTAGAACATTCAACACACTGTATGTAAGTTCTAATGAAATGACTACTGAACTGAGCTTTATATTGTATAAATGTCATAATATTGCTTTCAAATACATAAAATAACTAGGATTAGGCTAATAACATATTGCCCTGATATAGACAGATAAAAAGATCATATTTGTTTTAAAAGGTAAGAATATTTATAATTAATATTTAAACTGCTTCTCTCTCCAGGTTATTTTTAAGGTACCCAAGTACTCGCCAACTTTTACATCAGGCTTGCTTTGATCCTGCATCAATATAAATCAATATAACCCTTGTTAGAAACATCACAAAGACAGATCCTAAAAAACACTAACTAGAAGGCTTTGTATATAATTAAAAAGTATTCCGGTAATAAAATCATGACTAGTAAGGTGACAGAGAACAAAGTGCTTCTCAGGACAAGGGTTCATCTCATTTATGCCAAAAAGAATGTTTCTCACTAATAAGGAAGTTATTAACAAGTGTGCAAATAAGTACAAACAAAAAAGCCCATATACCCACCCAACTAGACTATCAACTGAGCACCACCGTAAAACCTACTGTTTTGTGCTCCAATTTTCTTAAACCTATGCTTCGAAAAAATTATCCCAGTAGCCTCAAATGTGTGTAGTCTGCTAGAAAATGAAGAGAATAAATGACAAAATAGGTGGTGTTCAGTTATCAGAGTAACAAATTCCTCCAACATTGCACCTTTATCTCTGGGGTCAACAAGCAGGTCATCAGCTGAACAAGGGCTCTCCTCGCTACCTTCGTTGGAAATGGTGAGGAATGACGTGGGAGACACAGACTGAGAGCGGCTGCTGTCGTTGCTTCCCCTGTCTGCCCCGCCGGGGGTCTGTGTGTCGATGCTGCGTGTGCTGCTACTTCTCTGTACAAGCGGGGGTGGAGCACGATGGCCATCTGGAATATCTTGTGGCTGTTATAAAAAATTTTAAACTTATGTATATTTACCATTGATTTTGAAAGTCACCAATAATGTACCCAATGTCAACCATCCCCTATAGTGCCAGAGATTCACAAATCAGAAATTTCTTCCTATTTATTAGCTCTTTGTGTTATTTGTTAGTGACATCCCTGTCTAATCTGACTCCCCCAACTGAGTGTCTTGGGTGAAGACTTTGTATTCGTAGGGCCTGGTACACAGCAGGCAGCCAATGCTTGTAGAATAAATGAACTGTGCTGAATTGCTTATCATGTACTAAATGTTATTTTTAAAATTATAAAGGAGAGCCATGGTAAAGAGGAGAAATTTAGGTGTAACAAACACTAGGTTCCATATTAGAGGAAATGGTTATCCAGAGCGTGAACTAGTGATACTTAATGCCAGGCCCGTTACCTTTCTGCCCCTACCCACTCCACCAAAAAGGGTTTTTTCAAAGAAATTTCCCTAAATGAGAGAAAGTTAAGCAGTGCTAATTATAGGGGGAAAATGAAGGAGAGACTCAGAGGAAAGCTTGTGTGGTTCACTTAGCAGGGAAACCAACTTCCTGTACACCTTTGATTAACTTACCTTTATTACATCAGGGAAAGTTTACCCCATCATGAAGAATAGAGGAGACAGTGTGGGGAGTTGTGTTTTTTCTAAGGAAAATCAACTTTTTATCTTAAGAGAGAGGATATTAAGCATTAACAAAATACTTAAGCATCAAACTCCCTAATTCCTCCCCCTCACTGAAGAATGGGAAGCTTTAGATAAATACACTGTGACACGGTTTTTAAGCCTAAACAATTTTTCTGTCTCTTACAGATGATCCATTCTCATGAGTATCCTAGTTAAGCAGAAAGAGCAAGAAGATCATTTCTAACCACACCTGATGATAGAGCCCAGCACGTCAACCAAAACCAATAGTAACTGACAATCAAATAACAAGGATCAGGGAGATTCATGCTTAGAAAGTATTTAATGCCATGTAATCCACCCGCCCAAAATTAGTAAGCCAAATTTTGTTAAATGGAGTTATTAGAAATGATAAGTATATCACCTGTCTAGTGATTTTTAAATACAGATAAACAAAAAATATTTTCAGTTCAAGGATCCAGATTTAAGTCAGATCAGTTGCCTCTTTGAGATGCAAAGAAATGTACACTTTTCATTCACTGGCCCAGATGGAAGTTTGTTTTTTGTTTTTTTTTTTTT